CGAGAGAGCCGGGCAATTACACAGTAGATGCTCCAGAGTTTATTTGCATTCGGCTCGTTGCATTTCCTACAAGCATCGCTGTGAGTTAGGCCTAGTGTTCGGGCATGTGATGCGACCAGACAGTGACCTGACAACACACCAATTAACGTTCTACAGTTCCTTCGGTAACTATTATGATACACTTTGAGGTTTTTAAAGGTTCTTATTAGGAACACATATGATACGCCATGAATTTGATCACTTAAATGAACGTAGAGGAGATAAAGAGAAGAAGAGGCGACTGGAGTATTAAGAAAGGAAAGGAATTAGAAAGACCAGCTTCTTTCACCATTGTAGAAAATTCTGCACGTCAGTGAAAACAAAACGTTTTGGTACTACTTAAACTGTTGAGCATTGAAGAGAGAGTACACGCGTGTTAATGTGAAGCAAGTTAAGGTTTAAACAATCCACCTATTCTACAGGTGGATTGTTGAAAAGCGATTCTGACTTCGCATAATATACGAGTTAATGTATGCGTAAACATATTAAGTTCTAAGATATTGAACAAAATATTTAAAATATGTATGTCATGGCTTAAAGTAAATAAAAGTGCAGTGACTCGACCTATGAAAACTTCATATAGTAAGTAAAGTAAAAGGATAATTTAAGCTGTTAAGTATGAAATAGGGAATATGTTTATGCCAACTTTTAAATAAATTAGAATCTTGTGACTCGGCCCGTCAAATTTGAAGAGCAACTCTGAGACCGGTCAAAATGAGACTTTCAGAATATATAAAATCAGGGTATATATAAAATCAGTAATTCCTGTACTTTATATATTCAATACTAAATGTACTCATTTTTCACGATAATTCGTTATGAATTCCATCCTTTAGAAAGCGTACTGCAGACTCAATATGAGAAGCATACTAGGAGGATAAATCGTTCTTAGTGAAGTAACTTGATTTTGTTGTTAAGTTGAAGGTGTCTATGTATGATATTCTTTGGATAAATATACCGGTAAATGCCAATCCTGATAGCATATCCAGCATGAAAAATAGCATACCTAGTATTGGAGGAAAAACATGTCTCGAAGGAGTTTATTATCTACAAGTGAAATAGATCTTAGTATGATCTTGGTCGAAATCAAAGAAATACAATTCTTATTGAATCGCTTTGTTGATCCTGAAAAAAATACTAAACTTTCTAAGTTACATTGCCATTATTCAAAATTTCTTTCTGTTAGATACTGCCAAATTTTAACTTTTTTTTATCATGCAGTAAGAAAAGACTAAGATGCTGTTTGATGATCTTTTTAATCATTACATATACTGTCTTTTACTGAGATAAGTTTAATTGTCGATTAATATTTGCAGATAATTATAAGTATTGTGTTTTTCTTTTCGTCTAGAGAGTAGACACTTTATACTTCATAATTCTATTAAAATCGTATCAGGCTTGCAGGTAAATTTGATCTTCCTCAATCCAATAATTGATTATTACATATAAAAGATTATTTTGAAAGTATCTTTCTTCATTTGGAAAAAGTTTTCGAACTCAACTGTGATTTGGTTTCCTTCTATATCGTTGATCCATGGTCACGATCATTGATCATGGAATAACCATAGTTACGTAAGTACATCTATATGCTTATCAATATCTATATATAAGTATATATCTATATATTACATCTTCTATTTCGTAAGTACCTTTAATCAACTAGTAAAAGTACCGGTATACTAATCCATCTTTTTGATAAGTTAGCCTTAGTGGATAATGATTTGCTTCATTACGACATAGTTTTTTTTACATTATTGTGTACTTAACAGCTACATTAAAAGCTACATAGTTACTTTCTATATCATTATGTGCAGTTATCTTACTTGTATGGATATAGAAAACTAATGAAACTTAATAAGAGATATTAAGATCGATTGTTTATTTCCTCATCTATCAAATAAAAAAGATATCAGCATACAGAGATTACTTTTGAGACAGTAGGTGACTAAAAAGTATATATGAAGGTTAACGAACTCATATTGATAAAAAAATTTAAATTCTTTTTATATACTGTAGATCTTCTTCTTTTCTGAATTTAAAAAATTATCTAATAGACAGAACTTAAAATTGCATTATTGAGTAGATAGACATATTTAACAAGAACTCAATAAGTTCAACATACTCATCTATTTTTACTTAATGTTATTTATAAATTTCGTTATCATAACAAATTTTAAACCTTCATTAATTGAAATGTCCTTTTCTTGAGTTTTTAATTGAATCTGGAATTTTGTACTGAAATTTATAGCAAAGGACTGCGTCAAACGGTGTGAAAATTTAATTTTATTCATTGTCAGAAAACAAGTGAAAGGTTCAAGAGTCCTAATGAATTCGAAACGTTTCTCATACCTGCTGTTAGGAAAACTTTTAACTCGTTTATGAAAAAAATGAAGTCCATAAATTACAGCAACCAAAAAATGAAAAACTGAAATGAAAGAAGAGGAAAAGTTTGGGACATTTTTCTAAACTGTCGGCGGTGTTGAATACAAAAATATTTATGCGATGTGTCTTAAGTGATAAATTTGAAGTGCGGCATAAACGGCGACCGTCTTTAGTTATTATCTGTACTCTTTAATTGTTTTACCAGAGAATGTACAGGGTGCATTTCCCAACATTCAAATAAGCGTTTCTCTAGCAACATGTGCATTACTCTTAAATATGAAAAATATTTATTGAAAGCTGTTAATATTTTTATCATTTGATATTCATAAAAACATGAGCTGGCAATAAAAAATATTTAAAAACGTACTAAAATAATGTGTATTTTTTTTGGAACTGTGTTCTTCTTTTGGCAGCAAAATTTATGGATTAAACTTTTTTAATTTTTATTACTTCTACTTTACAACGGTTATAAAACATAAAAGTCTCAACAGGAAGTTACCGAGCTGATGTCCCAAAACTGCTAACAACGAGCATAAAGTAAAATTATTAAATTTGATTACAGCAAAAACATTGCGAAAGGACCAAACTGCACTGGAAACGCAAAAATATTTAAAAAAGAAAATGTTAGCGTAACATTAAAGGACCACGGAAGTAAATTTATGTCATCACAGACAATGACCAAAAAAATTTTTAATAACAAAATAAAAATTGTGTTGGTAATTTTAATTTGAGCATTAATATGGCCACACAATTGTGCTGGGAATCAAACCGGAAGCAGTAGCAAACGACAACGACAACGACAACGACAATGGCAACAATGTCAAGCAGCATTCGGCAATAATTTATGGCGGAAATAATGATGGCGTACATAATGCAAAAATTACCAGTTTAAACAAGAATCCCCTGCCATTTGCAGTATGAAAAATTTTTTAAAAAAACCAGGCACTTGTAGTATCGCTGCAGACAGACAACCAGCAAAAGCTCAATGGAGCGAATAAAATGAGTTATTTAATGTCCAAGTCAAGGGAATTAATAGGTACAAGCATAGTTGTTGAGAACAATTTCCAATATAAAGTCAATGAATACGGAAAATTATAGTTAAACGGAACAAAAATAACATCCTTAAAAAAAGAGATCACATTGCAATCAAATGATGGGACATAAAGAAATTCCTATCAGAGATGCATACACCTATCATAAGAAATGTCTGGAGTTTATAAATATTTACTTTTGATTTAATCCTCGATGACATCAAAACGTAAAATGCCAAAAGTTTTATAGCATTTAAGGATACAATTGTGTGCATATAATAGCTTCATTCATGGTGTTTGATGAAGTCAGCGCACAATTGGTAAATATGCAATTAAATGCAGGAAATAATTAGTGACTACATAAGTGGGGTGTCCTTTACTAAAACAATGAAATTCTTAAACCCAGCAACTTTGTTCGATATGTCAAAGAAGAATATCAATAAAATGCAGCATACTTTGCGGGAAGTTAAACGTTAGACGGAAGATGCAATTCATAGCAGATGGTTAACATAATTTTTCAAATTATTGGCATGGTTAAGTCCCGAAATTATGCAGCTTGAATGTTATATTCAAGTAAAAAGGACAGAATATTATATATATGTACATATATATATATATGCATTTGTATACATCCGCATACATATTACAGTTGTGATAGATTCAAGTTTACGGTTTTGCTCAAATTTGGAAATGAATGAATTATATACAGTTTAATTATATTATTTAATTATTATTATATTGCCATATATGTTCGTAATACCTCTTTATTAAATTATACTTACTTATATACGTAAGTAATAAATACTAATGAAAAAATTAGTGATCTGGAAAGATATTACTAGAGGTAAAGTATATGTTAAGGTAAAAATTTTTCTAAATTTGTACGTAATATATATATTAAAAGGTCATGTATCCCGAACTCTACAGAGATATGGTCTCAAGGTAGCTATGCTCTTAACTAGTCATGTTAAGTATGTGGAATACTCTATAATAATATCAGTTATAAAAAAAACTCATTCCTCAGTTATTAAATTTGTTGCAAAATTTTGGATGGCTGCAGGTACTTAGAAGGTGTTTTAGTTTATATTACGTTTATCGCAATTCTATCCACTATTTTAAATAATAAAAAATTTAGGGTGTTTGCAAAATGAAAAAGAATAGAAATTAAGTCAAGCTTATTGTAATGAGTTTAGAACTTAGATGATGAAAGACAGATAATCAAACGGAAAGTTTGTTGCAATATCATTAAAACCGGATTCGATTTTTCTTGGTGTTGAGGCTAGAAGAGAAATTTTCAAAATTTCTATGAAATCAGGAACCATATTCATACATTATTTTACATTATTACATTATACATTATTTTGCTTAGCTATTGCTAATTTGTTAGCTCTTTTCTAAAAACAAACATAAGTTACCAACTGATATAACACCGACCACTGACTGTGTAATATATAATACAAATCTTCTCTTCAATATAATATTAAAACAAAAAACTAAGTGTTTATATCTTATACTAATAATTTTGATTTTTTTATTTAAAATCCCAAATAAAAAATTTATTTAGAGAGAATTATTATATCTGTTCTTTAATTTTCGCTCGTAATGATACTTCTTTTTAGACGTCACTAGTAAAATTACTTCATTGATGTCCGTTTTTTTTATCACCTATGAGAAAAAAATAAATTTAGCAATAAGTTTGTAAAGATTTGTATTAATTTTTACTCCTATTAGTGCTGCAGGACGCTAAGCTTTCAAAGAAACTACAGTCACTACTGCAAAGTGAAGTGAAGAAGATTTTCTGATCCAGAGAGAGGTATCCTAAAAATACATGCTTCATAAATCTAAATTATTTTCAAACACGTATTTAATTAAAATAAAAATTCAATTTAATTAAATTAGTAAAATTACATGAACATTACTTTTATATTATGTATTTGAATTGTAACAAACTCACCATATACCTATTGTATCATAAAGCAAAGCCATTTCATTTTCATTACTTCAAAGCATGTATGGCTGCTAACTAGAACTGCTGCAATTCCTATACTTCTGTTATCAATTTCTTTATTCAGATATTTTTCATTAATAATCTTGATGTGGCTTTTATCTTGATGTTAAAAACGTAACTATATTCACAGTTGTTTTGCATTTATGTGGAGTTTGTGTTATGTTCACCGAACATCCTACTACGAGCCCTAATAATTAGCAAGAGCCCTAAAGATAAAATTATAATTTTAATAAGTCTAAAGATTTTCTATTTTAATTAATGGGTACCTTATCTGAAACCATTACGATTATAAGAGACTCCATTAACGAATGTATTGACTTAGTAAAATCCAAATCTTTTACTTATTTATATAAGTGACTGCTATTTTGTGTTACTCAACATAAGTAACATTTTGAATATCCGAAAGTAATCATGACAATTCATGTAAGTTTATGTATCCTTAGTCCAGCAGTGTGAGACTCCAATAACGAATGTATTAACGCAGTAAGTTCCAAATCCTTTATATATCTATATATACTGCTGAAAATATTATCACTTAGTCTTATACAATATATAGGTAACATTTTGAATATAACGTAACCGCAGGTGTTATATAATATAAGTAACATTGTGAATATAATGTTACCGCAAGTAATCATGACACATCATGTAAGTTATGGCCTTAGTCCATATGTGTTAGAGTCCAATAATGAATGTATTAACTAAGTAAGTTCCAAATCCTTTATATATGTATATATACTGCTAAAAATATTGCCACTTAGTCTTACACAATATAAGTAACCGTTAGAATATAATGTTACCGCAAATAATCATGACACATCATATAAGTTTATGTGTCCTTAGTCCAGCAGTTTGAGACTCCAATAACGAATGTATCAACTAAGTAAGTTCCAAATCCTTTATATATCTATATATACTGTTGAAAATATTGTCACTTAGTCTTATACAATATAAGTTACATTTTGAACATAATGTTACCGAAAGTAATTATGACACATCATGTAAGTTTATGTATCCTTAGTCCAGTACTGAGAGACCCCAATAACGAATGTATTAACAAAGTAAGTTCCAAATCCTTTATATATCTATATATACTGCTGAAAATATTGTCACAGTCTTATATAATATAAGTGATATTTTGAAGATAATGTTACCGCAAGTAATAATGACACATCATGTAAGTTTATATATCCTTAGTCCAGCAGTGTGAGATTCCAATAACGAATGTATTAACTAAGTATGGTCCAAATCCTTTCTATATATATATATATATGCTGCTGAAAATATTGTCACTTAGTCTTACACAATATAAAGTACATTTTGAATATAATGTTACCGAAAGTAATTATGACACATCATGTAAGTTTATGTATCCTTAGTCCAGCACCGTGAGACTCCAATAACGAATGTATTAATTAAGGAAGGTCCAAGTTCTTTATATATCTATATATGCTGCTGATATATGAGTAACATTTTGGAATGTATTTAAAGTTAAAAACATTCTACGTTTATTGGTCTTGGGATTTAGTTTGTGTATCCTTAGTCCAGCAGTATATGTGCTAACCAATAACCTTGCAATCATATATGTTGGCTTTTATTAGCATTGGCTCATATGTCGCAGCAGACACGAGATGTCGACAATCGATTTAGAATATTCTTTGTTACCAAGGATATTGCAATTCAGTAATTATAAGATGATATTAGTGCATTAAGAGTCTGTTTTAAAAGAAGAGAAAATTTTTAGTTGTGGACATATTTATTTATAGTTATTAATATATTAATTACTTTATGTAAATTTATTTTAAATATAATTAAATAATAACTTTCATTTTGTGTGTTTGTCAACGTAAACGAAATTGCTCTAGCTTATGTATATATTTCTAATTTGATGTAGGCTATTAGTTATCAGTATCTGTTGTCCAGAGACTAATAATAAATCATATAAGCCATCATCTCTATGTGAAAAGTAAGTACCACTATTCGAGTATAAAATATAATTTGTAACATTGTGAAATCAAATCAACTGAAAGTATAAAAATGTATTAGAATCAATCTATTACTTATATTATAAGCAAAGAAACAATTGGCTTTGAAATAGATATCAATTTAAGAAAGATTTTTTTTTTTTTCAAAATTTTGTTTGATTCTTTGAAAATGGTGGACTTAAAAATTGTTTTACTTTAACAGTAACTATTTTTAGAGCCTATGTTTAATAAAGCTTTTAAACTGAATCTACGAGTACCTAAAGATCTTAGTGATATATGTGAACTGTTTTCTTTCTACTCACTGAGCTTTCAAATTTTCCTTCACAATATACTTCCATAACTGCTGAATATTAATAATGTGTCTCTTTTTCTTTTCAATAGAATTGTCATCCATATTGCTTTTCGAATCTTGAAGTTCCAGGAACTTCTGCTTAATTACTGCTATTAACACCAATTCCACGATTCTTTTGTAGTACTCTTCCTTTTTCAGTGCGGTGTCAACCTTCTCAGTTTTATCCTTAGTTACTAGCGGAACATTTTCTTTATTTTTTTTAGCTTCTAATGCGGCGGCTGCTTCCTCTAATTTTATAGTTTGCTTCAGGCTAACATATAACAAAGAAATTAAGCCAATAAACAGAAGAAATGGTATTGAAATGATAATGATAGGAAATAGAACAGCCATTCTCTCTAAGTGTCCAAAATAAATTTACTATTATTTTGGAGGAGTTGAAATGTCGAAACTTACTAACCAAAAATATAAATAAAATGAATATATATGTAATGTAATTTATTAAATAATTTTTTAAAAAAATTGAGGATAACTTAGTTAATTTTAGTTTAAAACAATTTTTTGTAAGTTGTAGGTAGAAATGCAGTTAATATAATAAAGGGCCAATTATTCTTTTATGCACAAGACTGAAATCCCAACCTATTCTACCTTATATGTTAATGTAATTAAGTCTTTTAAGAACTAGACATTATTTTTTTATCTGTTAAAAATTTTTTTTCTTTGAAAAAAATAAAATAAGGACGAAAGAGTATGCGTCTATAAAAAATAGTCTGAAGGTGTGATGGGCATTTTTTTTTTCTTTTTGTTGAAAATTATGAAGCGTTCCTGTGATATGATTAACACATTATTTTAGTTAAATTTGAAACTAAATAGTAAATAAAGTAGTTTCAATAAAACGGTGTGACATATATCACAATTCGTTCTGTTATGGCTCTGTTAGTCGAGAAACTTATTGGACTAGTTCACATCACGTTTTGGTGATGTGAGTTATACACTATAGTATTGTGAATTGTCATTCTAAAGATTAGGATCCACTTATACGTAAGGTGCAAATAATGCATTTAAATAAAAAGTTCATCAAAGAAGCTCAAAAAGAATGAATCGATTTCTATAGTTTCAATAGTTTAATTGTAAAATTTTGACCTACGGAT